GAGCTAGCTAGCTTAAGCGGTTAGATGTTGCGGTGATGTTAGGTTTAGATCTGTATGGGTTAATGAACAGAGTGTTTAAATAGGTAATTCACAGGTAGGTTACAGGTATGGCAGCATAGTATAGAACCAATCAGGTGGTCTAATCGTCTGTGTGGCAGACTACTTAAATTAGATAATGACTAAAGTTGTACGTATAGCTTGTTGTACACTTTTCATGTAATTACAAACAGTAGGGATTATCAATGTATAATTCCATATGCAAATACTAATAAAATCTCATCAGCAATGTAAGCCACCTTAAATAATAATAATAAAAAAAAAAAATAGATCACTCAATTGTAATCTCAAGGATAGTATTAGGAAACTTCAAGAAAATTTATTTTTGAGGAGGCTGGTATTTATTTCTGAATTTCAGCTAATATTGCATCAATTTCAGCTAAAATTAAATCTATTTCTATTGTTTGAGATAACAAAGAAGCTTGTATTTGAGGTTTTAAACTATCGCTTGTTTCTGGTTCAGAGTTAAACTCTTCTGATTCTGTATTGTCTATAGCATAATTATCACCTGTATCAAGGTGGTTTGATTTTTGTCTTATTGCGATTCTCAAAAGTAGTTTAAAATGATAAGGTATTGGTTTCTTATCACTATAGATTCTAGAAACATGTTTAGTTTCATAATCTCTTAATTTTTTAGGTATAGTTCTATAAGGTTCTTGTTTTAAAAACTTGTTAAATGGCTAAGCATTATGTGTTCTATGCTAGTAAAGACAGAGTCAGATAATTTTTTAACCTTAATTGCATCTTGAATTCAAGTAAGCAATTCTCTTACGTGTTCCAAGTTTTTCTCCATAGAAAGAAATGGTTAGGGCTTAGAATTCTTTTTCTTTCTCTTCTACTTTTTAAATAGTCTATACAGTACTAAGAATAACTTTCTTTATACTATGCTGGAGCATTCAAAGGATCCAGTTCATAGTGAATAATTTGAAGAGATCTTACTTCTGCAGGTCTCATACTCAACATCACAATTACATCCACAAGATCTTCTTTAGATAGAATTTTAGAAACATCTATATTCTAAATCCTTTTAAGCATTCTTGCTGACAAGAAGTATATTGGAATTCTATTCGAATTAGCTATTCATTTTTTAGTTTGTTTTTTCTGAATTTTATTAGACACTTGAATAAGTTTTGGATCTTTGGCATAGGTATTAATAATTTCAGGACTTACCTTGCTTTCTGCTAATTTCACACGAAATTGTAACTAACATGAACTACTAGCAACTATTTCATTTTTATAATCATTTTTTGGGTCTAAATCTAAATAATGAGTGAAAATATCTATAGCATCACTGATTTTAGCACAATATTTTGTCCTTTTCTCTATAGTGAATTTTCCTTTTCTCTTATCTGATAAGAGAGCCTCTATTAGCTTTTCACTAAATGAGCGTCTGTTATCAGTACCTCTGGCAAGAGTGATTTTAATACATCTACAAGCTATCTAATCAGGAAATATTATATCGAGTTTAGGAGCATATTCGTTTAATTGTTTTGGGATAGAATTAGCCGTTAGATTGTGCTTTTCTAGAAACTGCTCTAAGACTAATACAAAGTTAATAACTTTAGGTTTTCAGGTTTTTGGGGAAGCTGTTTTAGTAGCTATATCAATAGTAAATATTATCTAGTTATATATTAATCTAGTTATTTTTTAATTCAAAAAAAATAATAATAATTCGCTCTTTACTAAAGCATACTATTTTCCTGGAATATGCTTATATTTTTTTGCTACTCCTAATCATTATTGAGCTAGGAGGATGTGGTCTCCTTATTTTCAAGATCATAATAGATTATTTCTTCTTCTATCAATCTTTTCCGCACTAACATATCCATATATTCTTTAGCATTTTCTTTCTTCTTTTTTGCATAACCGCATATCCAAGCATCAGTTTTTATTTTATCACAGAATGCAATAGAGTTAAGCCTATCCTTTTTTGTAATAGTTACAAATATATTAGGATTCTTACTAAGTTCAATTGCCCTTTTTCTGAGATGCTTTTTATGCTGGGCCCTGCTTAGAAGTATAGCAGATAGTACTTTATTAATAGGCTTAGAAGAATCAGTTTCTTTAGAAGGCGTATTTATTAGCTTATGATAGGTTTAATAAATTCAGGAAGCTTGCTAGTTTCGAGCTAGCTTTTTTGAGACTGCTCATTGATTTCTAGCTCAAATAGGTTAGACATCTTAGAAGTTTTGGAAGTCCTAAATGTTGAAGCAACTAGTGCTTTGATTTCTTCTACTACATAGTCATACATTGTTCTGATTATTTTCTTTCTTATTACTAGAAGGGAGATTCTTTTTTGCCTAAGGCAGAATTATTTTTAGAAGAACAATTTCTAGTATATTGAATATGGGTATGTCTGCTGTCTCATTTTCAGGTAAGTCAGATTGAGGTGTATCAGAAAATTCTTTGATATCACTTAGGCCAGATTCACAGAACTTAGCTATAATTCTAGAGCAGTCAAGAATATATTGCTATTCTCTTTTTCTACTACCTGCTCATGCCTGTTTACTCTCAATTCCAATTTGAGAAAATTTCTTTTCAGCAACTTTACTAGTCAATAGTTTTTCTCTATTTTCTCTATACATTCAAGATAATTTTGATATAGTAATGTACAACTTGGTCTAGCTACATTATCATCAGACCAAGATACAACATAATCAATTATAAATCAAATTGAATTAAGAAGTTGTTCACGTATTAAATCAACTTTCATTTTAGTAGATAGGATCTCTTGTGGACTCCAATTTGAAAGATCAAGACTAAGTAAATAGGCTATAACTACACTTGGCACATCAGGATACTCCAGTACTTTGCCTAAACGCCTGAAATATTCTATATTATCCTTGCATTAAGAAGACACCTTGAAGTATACAATATGATGATCTTCTATTTCTATCTGAAGTGGAGCATCATAATTGCTCATGACCATAAATCTTGCATAATCCTTTATTACTTTAGGCTCAAGACCTTTATACTCTATCATTAAGTAGTTTTCTGTAATAAGTAATTTGAGATGATTATTATATTTATACCAATTCCTGCTAGATATACTCGTCTCATTCATGACAATTAATTTTCAAGCATGAACACAACTATTAAATCATCTTAATATTTTCCTGAGATCAGAAATTCCATAGAAAAGCTCTGGACTAAAAACCTTTTTACCTATAAAATCTATTAAAATATTTTTTCGCAACTCAGAAGAGAATGTAATACTGGAATAGTTCTAGGCTTTTTTGTTAGATTTTGTACTAAATATGCCTACTAATACTATAAATATTTATTAAGTTCTTTATTCTCACTAGAGATTATATTTTTTGTATGCTAAAGAATAGGATTCATAATATTAAAATTAATCATATCTGCTAGCCGAGCTTTGAATCCTAGAAAAAGATTAAAAAACTTTGTATTAAGCATTAGTGTATTTAGTGAATATAGAAGAAAATCAATATTGCAATAAAGAATTAGCCTCTTGATGATTGCCTGTTCTATTAAATTAATTAGTTTTACTGCTTCACCCTCTAATTTAACTAAGCAAACTTCATACTTAGCAAGGTTTAGTTTTGATGCCAGTTCAAAGACGAGACTGCTATCTGTATCTTTCATTTTAAGTACTCATAATCTTGATGTTGTTTAAATACAGGTAACCGTTGCTTGAATTACTTTATATACTTTATTGCAAGAAATTTTTCACTCAGATACATATATATTAATTAGATTTCCTTATACAAAATGATCATTTGGATTAGAAATTCTACGCTGTTGTAATTTTATTGAGCTCAGAAGCTTCTTTTCTTGATCCAAGGTAGTCTCACTAATAGTAAGTTTTAATGAAGAATTTTTTATTCTAGGTTTTCGATTCTAATTAGCATAATGACAATAAAATCTGTATCCCTTAATCTGTAGGCTATTTTCAGGCAAATTTGCCTGGAAAATTTGTGTAATAT